AGTTGTGATTTGAGGTGTGTGTGCAGTTTGCAAGAAATTGTTCAGTTCCATCACAAGCAACATCATCCAATAATATTGATCCAATTCCCAGACCAAAGTATGCACTGCTGTGAGCTGTCCCGGCTAAAATCAATCACAGAAAACTACTCGCAACACATCATATTAGCTAACTCACTTGTTCCTAGACCAAGCTGTCTACATACAACTCCAGCATCAGTGTTGTCCCAGGAGTCATCACACACTGTACCCCACCTTCCATTTAGACACAGTTCCACTCTTCCCTCACTAGAGTTTGATCCACCAACAAGACGCAGAGCACCAGAACTACAAACTGAAGCAATAAATACATCTATTAACAGCACAAATTTATTCTACAAACTAACCGTGACAAGTTACTCCGGCGTCCTCAGAGTGTCTACAGTTACGATTACTCAAGTGTGTGCAGTTTGTCAAAAACTGTTCTGTTCCTGTGCACTGAACATCACTTAGGAGGATACTACCAGTACCCTGACCAAAGTAGGCACTTGATCGATAAGTTCCACCTGTCACAATAATATATCATTCATTGTCAAAAGTAATCAACTCACTTGTTCCCCAGCCTAGTTGTCTACACACTACTGCTGCATCAAGGTAGCCCCAGTAATCAGCACAGACAGTGCCCCATGATCCACTATGACAAACTTCCACTCTTCCTTCCCAATCGTGTGAACCGTTAACAAGACGGATTGATCCAGTAGTACATACTAATTATAAAGAAATTAAGTAGCATAATAATTTAAAGTATAAATGCCTAAAAACTTACAGGCACATCTGACTCCTGCATCTTCAGAATGAGTACAGTTGTGATTTATGGTGTGTGTGCAGTTTGTAAGGTAAGATTCACTTCCAACACACTGGACATCGTCCAACACAATTGATCCATTTCCTTGTCCAAAATAGGCACTCCCCAGGGCAGATACTGTTTAATTATTATAAATAAAAAGACTTTTAAAATGAAAAAGTACAGTATAGGATTGAATTGTGGAAAAGTTTCTTTACAAGGGTACTTGCAAACTGGTGTGTTAAAAAATCCTATACTACTGCAAGAAGCCTGCTTTATACTGTTATCATAATATAGTATTCTGTGTGCTGGGATTATTACAACCGACGCTTTGTGGATTATATTCTTCATGAAGTGGTGTAGGATTTTTTACCACACCAGTTTGCAAGTACCGTCTTGTTTCTTTACTTTTTCCAATTTAATCCTACTATTTTTCCATTATAATGTCTTTTTATTTACTTATTTTCATTCTTTTCTCTTAAATGAACAAATTGAAATTACATCTGTTATGATTCTGTGGTTAGGTCACCAGTAATTATTTTATGCTGATCATGTGTGCATAAATTAAAATGGCATCATAGATAATACATAGTCTATAATAATGATGGCATCAAACCACAAGCCCATGCGATGTCTGCAACTAAATTTTGTCTTCTGTTTTGTTCTCTGTCTTTGCTTCTTTTCTAAAACCACCTTTCCAGTCCTTAACCCAAGCACAAAGGAATGATGAAAGAGCCAACTTGAGCGCTTTCCTGGCTTAAAAGATTCCCATGTTAGAAGAAGATGAAAGAAGACAAAAAATTTTGAAGAATTTTGCAGAAAGTTGAATTTGGGACTATTCTCCAGCATATGCAGCTGCAGGGGCAGGCCATAGGAGTAATGCCCTACTTCTTACCGGAAGATGGCAATCATGACATCATCATAATTAGCAGTTAACTGATAGTTATTTAGTAGTTTTAAGTAATTTGACAAAATTGCTCAACAAAGTAGAGAATAAAGCCGGATTTACAATATGACGCTAGGCCAACGTAATGTCAATTTTTAATCAAAAGCGTAGGCAATTTGACCTTTTCACGCATGCTTCACGCTGGAGTTGAACCAGATTCAACTTCTGCCTCAACGTAACCTCAGGACTAGCGTCATATTGTAAATCCGGCTTAAGCTGCCACTAGCTGCATGGCTCAATTACACTAAGGCAGTCAGCCACTTCAGGGAGATATAATCTACAGTGATGACCCAAAGCTAGCATATCTTCCTCATTCATATAGTAGCTTCATTATCAATCATCAGTGTAAGCTATAAGAAAAGTTAAATCACCTAGCCATACTCTATATTAAAAGAGATCTTTCAGGTACTGAAATTCTCTCCCCTTAAACACAAGAATGGCAGGGTGACTCTTCAATGAGTAGTTCAGGGCTTTTTCTAACTGGATTTTTTCACAAAAATTAATGCTGAAACATTAAAAGTCTTAACAGGCATAGATAACCTCATTCAAGAGCATGGCATGTGAGTGTGGTCATGCTCACACCTACTTTCTGACTAGTCTCACTAGCCAGACTCTAATTTACCGAATAAGAGTCTGGTGCCATGCCTAATATCAACTCATGTTTTCAATGTTTTGATTTGTGTGGGCAAAGAATGTTAATATCTATAAACACGCCCACGCACCACAATAAGTGAATTTATCTTTTTATACTGATTTTATACTTGCTTGTTTACTTATTTTATACTTCATACTTGCTTCCTGACATCAAGAAAAATAAAGCAGTAAAGTACTTCTCATTTTTGGCTTTTTTCGGCAGTACTGAAGTTGGAACAATCATGGCGGCTGAATTCATCTCGGATCCAAGCACATTATTTCTAGAAGCATTTCTTTACTTGCCTAATAGTCTAACCATCAGAGCAGATAAAGGCAATCCAGTTGGCAGTTGTAGTCATAGAAAGACAGTATAATAGCTCAGTTAGTTCAATTCTTGATAATAGGCTTGCCTGCGTGGGCGGATTCTAATGTAACCATGGTAACAGTGATCTGATTAGGTCGACCAAATTCTGCCAGACAAGTACGAGTTGATGTTAGGCATGAAACCAGACTCCATTCTAAAAATTGAGTCTGGCCCTGCGAGACTACTTTCTGACCACTCCCACTTTTAGCCACACCGTGTACCAATGCCCTACTGACCTATGTTAATGTTCAGTTATGCTCCCGCTACATTACAGTTCATTTTAAAAGTACCAGGAGAATCACTCAGTGAAGGAGAGCTCATATAAGCTATTTATAAGGCTGTACAATGTAAGGTAAAAGAGTTATAAGGGTTTGAAAATCATAATAAAACTAATGGCCACCATCTTAAAAAACTAACCACAACCCTACATAACAGGCTCCTGCCTATTATTATCATAGATTGTGTTTTTAAAGCTGCATAATGATTTACTTGGTTCATATCCAAGCTGTCTACAGACAACAGTTGCATCACTGATGCCCCAGAAATCATCACAGACAGTACCCCATGATCCACCACTACATACTTCAACACGTCCTTCTAGATTACTTGTTCCTCCAACTAATCGAATGCTTCCATCAGTATAAGCAAATCCTAATGATATTACTGCAAGAAAAATCAGTAACAAGAGAACTGTAATTGACCAAAGCTTCATAGTGAAGCAGTTTAGTCAAATAAACTTTTTGGGTGGGGTTGCATACTTGCTTTGTGTGGTATGTGGACTGATATGCTGATGAATATCATAACTTGGAGTAATTTTATGTAATTTGATCTTAGCAGGTATAATAAATAACATTAAGAATGTCAATGATAATATACTGTAAGTAGTGGAAGGTGCTTATATAAATATGTGTACATTGTGGCCTTGTCAGTCTAAGACTAGCATGTATGTAATGATATGCCAATGATATGTAAAATTTTTAGATTAATGTATAACATTTGAATTGGCTTTAGCTAACTATAAAACTCATGCTGGAACAGTCACTGCATGCTTATCTCATACAGAAATTCCAAGGTCGTCACAACCTCGCAAGGTTGTAGCAACTTAGTAGCAATCTTTTAAAGGTGGTAAGGTCAAATTTGATACACAGAATAAACCTGTTGCACAGATGTAATCAACGGGGTAGGCAGAGCTTCCTGTCGGCCATCTTGAGTGGCAAGAATGTGCACACAACGAATGGGGGAATGGAAACAATACGATTTTTCATCAAAGAGATATCATACTTCGCTGCAGAATATTATAGAGACTTCTTTACTCAATATCTTCATCTCCTACCTTGCATTAGCCTGGAATGTCAGCAGAATTTATTTAAATTTTTTTCTCCATTCCCCCATTCATTCTTGGCCTTCTTGCCACCCAACATGGCGGACAATTTAGCTCAATTTTAGCCACACCCTCCCGTTGATTACTTCTGTGCAACAGCTCTATAAGAAAATTTATTTGTATCAGTCGTATATCAATAGGTAGGGAAAATGATGTAACGGTGGGTGTCACCTGACATCTATGGCAAAGGGTGCTGAAAAATTATTAATTGTGCATGGATATTGGGGTGTCCCGATTATTCTGGAATAATTTTGGGAATAATAGGTCAGGGGTGTTTCTAGCATGGGGCTGAATGGTGCTTGAGCCCCCCCCTCATGGCTGGGCTCAGAAAAATATTACTGAAGTCCTGGACTTTTGCATCACTACCAAGCCTCTTAACAAAGTTATCTAGCCCCCTGATCATGACTTCAGCAGTTTCCAATGCTTTAAGGAGCAATCAGAAGTACCAGTAACATGGCAGTATGCTTGAAAGGATCTTGGCCCCACCCATAATTGACGAAAATGCAGGAATAGGCCGTTTTACCGCCGTAAAAGTGGGTGTGGCCAAAATCGTGGCGCGCATCGCGCGCCCTCAACACCCCCCTTCCTCAGTTCCTAGATACGCCCCTGTAGGTAGCACTTCAATTCCAGAATAATGCTGGCCTAATAGGTGGATCAGTAGCCAAACTCTAATTAAAGAGCAGCAAATGCACAATTTTTGAATTTTTTCATGCCTGAGCTAGTTGTACCTTAATTTTTGAACAAAGTTCAGGTTCTGAGATTGATATAGAGACATATATTTTGCAGTCTCTGCTGATAGTGATACTTTAAATAGCTTCTCAGATTTACTAATATTCATTTTTATTGTAGTTAGCTCATGATTATAAAGAATAAAGTGAGAATAATAGGGCAGAATAAAAATAATAATAGGCAAATTTTTGAGAATTTCTGAATAGAATTATAGGTAAAAAAATTAGCATAATTGGGACACCCCTACATGGATATGAGTAATAATGAGTGTAATTTTATAAATATTAATTATGCTAGATTATTTGTTAATTTGATATAAAAAATACTTCCAAAATTGAAGTTAATGAAACAAGCTTACTTGATCTGCTTTCTCTTTTGCTTCAGCTTTTAGCCTCCAGACCAGAAACCGGAATAGAACCTGCCCACGTGTACACACGTGAGAATCTAGTTAAAAAAACCTATACCTGGGCATGGTTAGAGGTGTGGCTATTTTTAAAATGGCTGCACGTCAGGCTGTACTCTTTGATGTCAGTGTGCGAGATTCCGCTGGGAGGACTCAAATAATACCAGTACGTGCTAGCACATCAGTTAGCGATATAAAGAGAAGCTTTTCGGAAAAGACCGGTGTGCCATTGAACTCGTACCAACTGGTATTCGCTGGTAGACAACTCAGTGATGCGGACACGCTTCAGGTAATAAGCTACGCCTTTCTCTCACGTTTAATTACCTTAAAAGTGTAAAAAGAGAGATGCAAGACTTGTAAACAATAACAAAGATTAGATATTTATTCAGGGGCATCTCTAGTATCAGGAAGTTGTGGGTGCCTAGTATTGCATGAGTGCAGACTACTCTAGCATGATGAGTCTAGTCTTATTTTGTAGACAGATACTCAGTTAGTGGGTGCTATTGTTCAGTAATGGGTACTGATGCATCCCTAAGCAATGCCCATGTAGCAGGGGAAAATTTGCTGAGTTTTAGTTGGCAGCCGGCAGATCAATGATAAAATCCACCATTTTTCTTTATTCTGAGCATGCTCAATGATTCATGGCTACTAATTCACGAATATTAAAAAAGCAAACGCATTGCAATCATATAGAATTGCCAATGTTAAGTGCTGCCAAATTTTCCCATTATACAGTGTCATTCACATAGCCCATAATTCTGGCTTAAAATTCCAAATGCATTTATCAACTTGTACCATGTGGGTTTCAGCTTTTGGGCCAAATTCTTGTCTTTTGTGGGTAAGATTTTTTTAAATTTTGATTGTGTGAAAAGAATTGTCGTAATTTTGTGTCTTTATTATTTCTACTGAGCTTGGAAAAATGAACAAAAGTTAGGTCACTCAGAAAAAACTACTATACAATATGTGACATAAAGAGAAAAGTTGAGGCAACAGATAAAAAGGCTCAAGCTTCTAAACCGTGTTACTGTTATTATGTATACATTGTACATGTATTGCTACATGTACGTACATGTATTATAAATACTATTGTTTTTTAGGCATTAGGTGTACAGAGCCACAGTACACTGTTTTGTATAAGAGGAGGAGTCAAAGTTGAAGCAGTTCCTGATATAAGTGTAAAAGCTGTTGAAGATAAACTGGGCAAAATAGCTACTGATGATATTGAAGATCCTCCCTCTAGTCCATCAGCTGCCAATAATAGATTTTATGTTTATTGCAAGTCTGTGTGTAAGGAAATGAAGCCAGGGAAGTTACGTGTGCGTTGTGCCTCTTGTAAAGACGATAGATTCACATTGACAACGGTAATGATGTTTATTGATATAACTATATTGTTTAATATTATTTTAGGAGCCCCAAGGTTGGTCTGATGTATTAGAAAAACAAAAGCTAAGGGGGAGGTGTTATAATGATAAATGTGGAGGAGATAAATTTGCTGTTAGTTGAAGTTATAATCACTTGAAAGTTTTTACACAACCTTTATTATTATTATTAGGAGTTTTATTTTAAATGTGCTGGTCATACTAGTGGGGCAGCTGGAGTGAGAGATGATGAATGTGTTGCTCTGCATATGATTAGAACTAACACAGTAGACATTGAATGTCCTTTGTGTGCTGATGAAAAGTAAGTGCTTGGAAAGAGAAGTTTGAGAATAAATGAGAATAGAAAACAATAAGAGAGAGAGAGAAAGAGTAGTTATTTGAATGTTTTAAGCCTGAAAATATAATTGCTAGAAATTTTTTATAATTTTTTAATGCGCACACATCAAGAGTACTCTTGATACTCATGTACATGTTCCTGATACATATACATTATATGTGTTCTTATGTTACGTAGAAAATTTGAGCTACATATACATGTACATGTACATGTAATTCTAAGTCGTTAAATTTTTAAAGGTTTTTGAAGTTAATCAAAAATCGTGCCAAAGTCCTTGTACAGGGACTTTGGCCACAATTGACTAAGAAAGAATTCTTCATTTTTTCTGATACATATACATGTTCTTATGTTGTGTGGAAACCAAGTTGATTCCAATCAAAATTATTTATTTTAAAGATACTAAAAAAGGGGCCAAATCTCTGTACTATAATACAGGGTCTTTTAAAAGTGACTAAGAGAGAATTTTTCATTTTTATAATTTTTCCTGATGCATATACATGTGCATGTTTTATTGTATGTAAAAACTTTAAGCTAATTCCAATCAATATTAATTTTTTACTAATTTTTTAAGTTAATTAAAATTTGGACCAAATTTTTTCAACATTGAACAATAGACGATTCTGCATTTCTATAATTTTTTATACACATAGAGTACATGTACATGTACTTACATGTACATGTACATGTGTAAAAAGTTTGAGCTACATGTAGTTGCAAAACTTGCAATCGATTTTTTACAAATTTTTAAAGTTGCTCAAAAATTGGGTCAAAGTCCCTGTACTGTACTGTATAGTACAGAGACTTTGGCCAAAAATGACTAGGAGAGAGTTTTTCATTTTTATAATTTTTTTGATTTATTTCCATTTTATTATGCTGCGTAGCAAGTTTGAGCTGATTCTGATCAAAATTAATTTTTTACAAATTTTTAAAATTACTAAAAAATCAGACTAAAACCAAATTTAATTAAGATTACGAGCCATTTTATAATTTTTTCTGATACACAATTTACACTTTTAGATTGTGTGCCAAGTTTGAGTTGATTCCGACCAAAATTGAATTATTTTTTTACAATTTTTAAAGTTGCTCCAAAAGCCATTTACAGCTTTGTGGGAAATTCTGAATGCACAAAATGTAGTGCAAGGAAATTTTAGACAAGGTTTGTTTTCAATATGACAGTTTTCTTTTCATTTTTCATGTGTTTGTTTTGCAAAATATATTGCAACCAAAAGTATGCATGTACATGTATGGTACAAATTGCCATTTTTGTGCAGCAATAGACATGTACAAGTAAACATGCAAAAGGCAATATTCTGAGGGAACTGAATGATTAGTACCGTAGGTCGGGATAAATTCGCGGCTGCTTATTTTCGCGATTTTTTCCCGCACTCAGCAATTACCATGGTTACTAGATGCAATTTTAATTGAAAAATCCGCGATATTAATAGCAAAGGACTCTGTTGCAGTGTTCTTGGGTTGTTGTTCTTCTTGCTGTTACTAATCCTTGGTCTCTTTGGAGCTGTTTCAACCAGAGCTACTCTCTTCACTCTGCTTCGCCGTATCTTGGCCCATTCTTGGGACTCTCCACCCATTTATTGACTTGGGGCGTGGTTAATTATCACCAGCGGCAAGTGGAGCGGCAAGGATTTGCAGCAAAGAGCTCGAAGGTAGTGGCCCATACAAGAAGATAGTGGACGGAGAACTGGATGGCTCCCAGTAAAGCTGCTAAAGAATAGATAATTAGCTGCTGAACACTGTATGTAATTGTATAAACACGTGGTCTTATTGTCATAGCAACAATCAATCGGTTTCCATGGTATTTAATTGAACCTTTTTATTAGTTTTTATTATCGCGAAAATAAGCAGCCACGAATATATCCCAACCTACGGTATTAGGAGCAAATAATTAATATTATTTTTATATTGATTATAGGGATATAATGGTCGTGTTTACTTGTGATGGTAAAGATGGTCACTGCCTCTGTTTGGACTGCTTTAAAGACTTTGCAAGACTAGCTCTAACTGAGCGGAGGTTTATTGAGAATGCTCAGTCTGGCTATAGCATACAGTGTCCAAGTAATGTGTCACTTTGTTTTGTTATCTATTAATTGTCTGCTCTTGTTTTGTTATTGGTTATTATTCTTATTATACCGTATGGTTGATAATTTTCAAGGGTCCAATATTTTGCATTTTTTCCAAAATTTCCTTAGAAGAGCTAATATTTGTGGGTACAAATATTGGTGGCTTGCAGTTATCACTCTTCTTTTCACTTGGATCTACAGCACTAGCTTCCAATACATGGCTTATAGAAGTTATAGTGGAATATGGAGTATTAGACAAAGACTCTGGATCCTCCACTGGCTTCGAAGTAGTAGTTAGAGCTCTGCATGACCCCATTAATTAGTTTTTCATGTGGGTTAAAACTTTGTGGCACCACGAAATTAATGAAAATTAATACCCCACAAAAATTACCAACCTTATGGTATTGTTATTTGTTGTTCTTATTTATTAAGACCAAAATTTAATACACATTATAACATTATTGTTACTTATTATTAATTATACATATTAAAATAGACTACATTCCTTTTCTCTCTTTCTCAGATAGGTGTCCTGATTCTTTTATTACTGAAATACATCACTTTAGACTATTAGGAGATGAACTGGTAAATGTAGTTACTATTGTTGTTACTAAGCCTAGGACACAATAGATCTGGTAACAATCTGTGTATTATATGTTAATGCTGTTAAAGTTAAAGAAAGTTTCTGTTAAAGAAAGTTACACTACTAAAGGCAGATCATGAATGAAGCACCATGCATTGTATGATTTTGAAAATAATTTTTAGAAGTACATGCATTTATACATTTAAAGTGAGACATTTAACTTAAAGGGAGTGAGACTTGATTTTTGGTACCTACCCCTTAATGCACCACTCTAATAGCGAACAAATAATTTTTGAATTACTATAACACAGTAATGATTAATTGTGTCCTAGGCTTAATTAATGGCTAAAATACATGTACTACATGTAACAATTTAACTTTGCTTTTTATTACCATATAGCTTGAAATTTTCGTGAAATGTAAATTTCGTGGTTTTCGTGGTTATGGGCTGCCCACGAAAATTAAACCCACAAAATCATTGAAGTGCCATCCCCTTACAGGCTATGTAAACTATCAACCACGAAAATTATACCACGAAAATTATACCACGAATTGCCCCACTAGGAGCAAACCACGAAAATATCGACCCACAAAAATTTCAAGCTATACGGTATTTTTAGTACGAAAGGTATCAACGGTTTGGTACGGAGGAGTGCCTGTTACAGATGGGAGGAGTGTTGTGTCCTCAGGTTGGGTGTGGTATGGGTATGCTACCTGAAGACCCTGGAAATAGAGTAACCTGTCCAACCTGCAGAGTTAGTCAATTCTTTTTAATTGTTATAAATATTACTGAGGATTTTTTGTGTAGCATACTTTCTGTCGTAATTGTAAGAATCCTTATCATCGTGGTAACTGTGATGCTGCCCCGCCCATACAAGCACTGGCTGGAACAGTAAGTGTACATGTACATGTACTATAACGGCTGTACATGTACATGTAGCTGATTAATATTATCATTGATGATTAATATATTTAATAATTATATCATAATTATTGATTATTGATTTTAATTATTGATTACGGTATATCTCCCAATTTTCACCAGTCTAAAATTTTGTCAAAATTCTAACTTCTTGTTAAAATTAATTTTTGTTATTAATCTGCCTACAATACTACCCACATGGAACAAAAATTTTGTCAAGCAATAATATCTAAAAAAAATTTGACAAAACTTTTGACCGGCAACAATTTGTAGCTATACGGCATTCTTAATAATATAAATATTGATAAATGTATCGATTGTTAGGGGCAGCAAATAGATGGTGAGAGATTGAGGAGGTCAAGATGGGATGAGGCGAGTGACGCCTTCATACGCTCTAATGCCAGTATTAAACCATGCCCACGATGTCATGTTAATATTGAAAAGAATGGTAAATATAAAGAGTTGATATTAATTATTGACAAATGTCAATAATGTTGATTGGCTGTTATGGGACAAAATTTCCCCAATAGAAATTTAGCTAATTTTGGTTTAATCTTAATTATTATTTTAGTGTACTATCCATATACATTATTGATCATAAGTTTTTAATCCATTTTTGATATCATCATAATAATCATTAGCTCATCCACACTGTTCTCATGCACATAATTATTCATATTCTTTGTGTTTTGTAAAGTCTTGAGTTGATTCTGATCAAAATTGGATTTTTAGAAATTTTCAAAGTCTTATTTTATAATTTTTCTCATGCATATTAAACATACATATGTACATGTACATGTTCTTATGTTGCATATCAACTTCTAGCTGATTCCGATCCATGATCTTGCCTGTCATGATGCCAATAAACACAGCACCATTTTATAGTTTTACTACACCTACATGTACAGTATGTGTCATGTGCTATTGCCAATTGTTGCAAACTTATCATTGGCATTTGACAGTTTATTGTATTGGCCGTTTTATTATAAATTTCCAATTTTCCAATTTACATGTAAAGTCACTGCTAAATTTTCTATAGCTTCATTTTATACAAATAATTAATAATTCTCTGCCTTTTCTTCAACTTTCTCCCTCCCTTCAGGGCTTACCACAGAAATTGGCATAGTGCTCATACTGTTTTTTGTTTGTGGGTTGCCAAGTTGCTTAAAAATTTAACCAAAACCCTGTACTATAGTACTGGGTATTTTAAGAAAAAAATCACAAGTGAATTCACCATTATTCTGATGCATATACATTTCCTTATGTTGTGCATCAACTTTGAGTTTATTCCGATCAAATTTAGATTTTTTATGGTTTTTTAATTTTTGCTCCAAATTCCAAAAATGTTCCTAATCTTACCTAATTTCACCTCCTTTTTGGCTGCCGTTTCACTTTACTGTCTCTTGTCTTTCCTCTTCTTCTTTCCTCTCTCTCTTTCAGGTGGCTGCATGCATATGACTTGTAGTAAATGTCGTTTCAATTTTTGTTGGATATGCCTCATTGAATGGGGCCGTAGATGTCAAGATAATCACTGGTTTGGAGAAAGAAATTAGCAACAAATCTACTTAATGTGTGGGTGTGAATTGTTATTATTAATTTTGTTATTTTTGTATTTGATTTTTTTTCTATAACTAAAGCGTGGGTGTGTGGTAATTGTCCACTATTAATTAATATTAATTTTTAATAATAGAAAATAATTTTAAGAGGTCTGGGCGTGTCTATTTAGGCGTGGCTCTTAGTGTTTGGGCGTTAATTAGAATGTCAGGTAGAAATCTTCAAAGAACTGGCCGGAGAGATCCCTGGGCTAGATTTGAGGCATGGCGGTGAGCAGCTCCACACTTTTTATGTATTAATAATGTCTATAGATACGCTCCTGATATAACTAAGGGCGCCAATATGAGACGGATGTTCCCTGGCTTGGGTATTGGGTTTGTAGCATTCCTAGTTCTGTCAGCTTGGGAAGAGTTTTACTACAAGCCACGCCATCCAGAAGAATACACAACTCATCATTAGTAATACACATAGGTGAAATTTTTGAATATTAAAATGTGACTTTAGTTGGATGGGCGGAGTCATGAATATTAATGAAGCTTTAATTAAATTTTGCTAATTATTGTTAATTAATTTCATTATCTCTTGCTTGTTATTTTCTGGCAGTATTTTATTATTGAAACTTATTCCAATTGCCAAGCACTGCTGCATAGGCTGCATGCATATACTACTTATACTTTGAATTGATTTAATTCACCCAAGGGCCTAATATACTATAATGTATAGTGATTATTCAAACATGTATGATGTTAATTGAATCTCAGAAATCATTATTATTTGCATCATTATAATTTTACATGTGTTAGTTTATGTTGTAAAGTGGATTTTCCTCTTTTTCTTCAGAAATAATAACAATCCTAGCTTATATCCATACATTAGCCCAAGCCTTCCAAAACAACTCTATATTTGTTTCCTTTCCTTTAAAATACTCAGCCTAATTTATCTGGACTACAAACTCTTAATTGATAATAATGAAACTAGCAAAACTGACAGAGACCTTAGAGTATAAACAGAAGTAAAGTGACTCTATGACTGAAATTACAGTGGATGCTCTTTTTTATAGTTTATACCCTAGCCCTTTCACTAATGAGAAAATAAATTTTGCTTGGTACTATGTCTCTTTCAATTAAGAGCTCACATGTTTTATGTGTGAGTGTATACCTGTGCATGCTAATTAATGCAATGATGCAATAGTCTGGCACAGGTATGTCCATTGCACAATGACTGCTTATGATATTACTATTATTGTGCTTGTGTCACCGAGTTTCAGTGAATTTACCTGTAACTAGTAATTTGACAAGGTGTGTTTATGTACATGTTTTAAGCTAATATCGTTATAATTTTCAGTTACATATGCAATAAAATGGAAAGATATCGTGGACATGCACATAATTGTAATTATTATAAATTGTATTTAATGACACTGCTTATTTTATGGTGTTAATGACATTAATACCTTCTCTGTCCCTCCTCTCTCTCTCTCTCTCTCTCTCTCTCTCTCTCTCTCTCTCTCTCTCTCTCTCTCTTCCCCTCTTTCATCCCTTCCTCCCCCCTCTCTCTCTCCTATCATACCTATCACATTATATCAAGCTCATAAATTACAAATATATTCTATTTCTCTTGATACTTCTAATTTGATTGGGGCATTGCTTGGAATGATTATCATTCACACTTACACACAATTAGCTGTCTCACTTGTATATTGATTATAATGCCAATCCCTAAATGTAATATAACTGTTGTCTCTGTGTGATTTTCTCTTGATTTTAATGTTATTGTTGTTCCCTCATTAATTATTGACAGCATTATCATGTTGTACAGTATCAAGTGTTGCTCGCTTTCTCCACCTCTTTTCACCTCTCACAGTGTCAGTCTCTTTATTAGGTTTCTAATTATAATGGAAGTGTTACTGTAGTTTGTATAGTATTTAGTCTCTTTAATATTTCTACATGATAAACATGTTGTCCTTCAATTTACACGTGTACTGTATCTTACCCCTCTTTCTCCCCCTCTCTCCCCCCTCTCACACGTACATGTAAACATACATTATGCAACATTGACACATATTCTCTCTCTTTCTCTCCCAATGTAGATAATAAAACAAGGTACATTACTCCATTATCAAGAAAGACTACTACTACTATTGAAGAACTAGCTATTGTACTTGTATTTTTCTCTCTATGTGTGTATATCTTATTGTAATATGAATAGGCATCAATAGAATACTAGGTGATATATCTATTGGCCTTAAGAACTGCCCATGTACCTTCCATTAATAGCTACATGCAGTTGCTGTAGCACTACACAATAGCGCCATTGAGACAATCCCCTCCCTCTATAAAGGAGAGATGTGTTAGTGGTGTCAGTATTGTTGTATAGAGACCACGTGTGTCACATTACACACTTAATATTGTTCGTCCACGAGTTATAAAACGCATGTGATACCGTACCACGCGCTCAGCCTCAAGAGAGAGGAGAAAGAAGGATCTGTTTGTAGCTAAGGAACCTTTGTTGGCTATTTTAGAGAGTTAAAGAGATCTAGGAAGAAGTGACAGAGGTGCTACGGTCGGTGTATAACAATGGCGTACACAGAGGGAATGTTCAGCCAGGTAAAGAGAGACACGTGCTTAATGGCGGGTGATGACAACCCTATCTCCTTCTCTCTCTTTAGTTAATGGAAGAAAAACAAGACCCCGTCAAGGAAAAGAAAATGTCTGACTCGTCCAACAGCAGCAGCTCTTCTTCATCGTCCCCTGTAGAGGGTGCGTGTATCTCTCCCTCTAGTAACAATGGCGACATTGTCTTCTTTATAGGTCAAGAAACGGGACAAACCCCATGGACCATAGGACTCGTCGAGTGCCCTATACTAAACAGCAGCAGCAGTGAGTCCAGCATAGATTCTGGACTGGACTCGCCGGGTGCTCCTTCTTCACGCAATTCTCCACTTTCTTTAAATGATGCCATTGTCTCAACCTCTAACCTTACCTCCATGCTGGTAAACCTTATTATTATTGTTGTTGTATTTATAATTAATTACTCTTCTCTATTTCACTTAGAATAAGTTGACTATAGCTCCTGTGTCTGTCAGCGATAATCCGTTCTCTGATTCGCACGAGTTCCATGTCCCTCCCTTGTCCCCGGATTACCTCATCCCTCCTTCTCCTCTTCTCAAAGACTCTCTCTCTCTTTCCTTCCAGTCCCCGATCCCTTGGGGTGCCTCCTTCCCTGGGATATATCAGTCGACTCATCACTACGGCAACGGTCCTGGTGGGAGGAGTTTTGAGCCAATCTGTTCTCTTCCCTATCCTTCTTCTCCGTACTCCTCAAGGCCGCTCCAATCGTCCATTTTATCCGTTTCTGCTGGAGGCAGTAAGTTTTGAATTTGTTGTTAGTTGTACAGTAATTAACTGCAGAGTACAGTACATGTCACATGTTTTTTGGTGGTTAGAAACATGTAATAACTCTGTGTGTGTATGTGTCATTTTCTTTCTGCTCTTTTGTGTCTTCTTTCTGTGTATGCTTAATGTATTGTGTGTCCTTTCTGTGTAGATGGTGTATTTTACTGCATGTGTGGTTGTTAATGAACATTTGAGAATGGTTGGGTGGTATCCATTGACCTCAATAGGAGGAGACTCAGATTAGCTCTAGCCTTTAGCTTTTATTGTCTTTGATAACAATCCCTCCCTCTTTCTCTCCTCTGGCACTCTTTCATCATATCCTCTTACCACTTTCTCCCCCTCCCTCTAAATTCCCAGGTCCTGTTTGTAAATGGAGTGGACACTTGCCTCCAAGGCGTTACAAGAATCCCACGTATTCCCCACGTGTGTTTCTGGGTGGTGTGCCGTGGGATACTACTGAGGCCACGTTGCTTGCTTTATTCCAACCATTTGGTAACCTCTCTGTTGATTGGCCAGGGAAAGAAAATAAACACAACAGACACCCACCTAAAGGTAAAGCTGGAGTGTTTGTGTGTTCTCTTTTGTATTTATGTTTTGTACTCTTAGTGATATAAACATCTGAGCATTGTAGTGACTTGTATTGTCATTAGTGTATGTACAGACAATACTGAAGGAGAGAGATGATGAGTGGATTTTGTGGTAATAAAGTCAAAAAGTATTTAAAGGAATTGGGATTTTAGAGGAATGAGTGTGTGTTTGTGCGTGTGTTACTATTATTAATAGTGTGTACTATACTAGTGGAGGCTGTGTGTTACTATTAATATTATTAATGTACTACAATCCAGTACATGTATGCATCATTACTGGCAAAAAGCCAGTTTTCTCTCTCTCCTGATGTGTGCTGGAGCTAAAGGATAAGTCTACCCTTTTCATTGTCATAGCAACCGTATGTAAACATGCCTAGCCTTCGTGTCAACTTATTGATACATGTGTACTTAGATGTAGTCAAACCAGACTAACGTCTTTTCAATGCATTTAGGTTATGTTTACTTGACTTTCGAGATGGAGAAATCAGTAAAGGCTTTACTAATGACTTGCGGTCAGAATCCATCTAACGCAGGGCAGTATTTTTGCAAAGTGTCCAGTCGTAGAATCAGGAATAAAGAGGTGAGTTACAGTGCTTATATATCCAATGGACATTGTTATTATTTACTGGTAATGTATGCATTATTGTAATTGTGTTTTTGTTATTTGTAGGTGCAAGTTATCCCGTGGGCTTTGTCTGACAGTAACTCTATAAGGTCTCCATCTCCACGTCTTGATCCGAGTCGTACTGTATTTGTAGGCGGACTCCATGGTCTTATCAATGCTGGTAAGAAATAGCATATGTGTGTGTGTTTTTGTGTGTGTGTGGTGTTTTGGTTCAATTGTTATTGTGCCAGGTGATGTTTATCTCTTATCCTCCAATTTTATCTCTTAACCTTCTCTCTCTCTCTCTCTCTCTCTCTCTCTCTCTCTCTCTCTCTCTCTTTCTCTCTCTCTCTCTCTCTCTCTCTCTCTCTCTCTCTCTCTCTCTCTCTCTCTCTCTCTCTCTCTCTCTCTTTCTCTCTCCCTTTTTCTAGATTCCTTGGCTCATATAATCGACGAGCTGTTTGGGGGTGTGGTCTATGCCGGTATCGACACCGATAAGTACAAGTATCCAATTGGGAGTGGGCGTGTCACTTTTGGTAACCAGCAAGGATATATGAAAGCTGTCAAGGCTGGTTTTGTTGAAATTAAGACACCAAATTTCACTAAAAAGGTAACTTGATTACAGCCCCCTGTTGCCATGTTATTTAATTATGATTTATCTTGCAGGTTCAGATTGATCCTTATCTTGAGGATAATCTCTGCTCTGTCTGTGGTCGTGTCGTGGGTCCGTATTTTTGTCGAGATTTCCAATGCTTCAAATATTTTTGCCGAGCCTGTTGGCAATGGCAGCACACCACTGACGGCTTTATTGGTCACCGCCCACTCACTCGTACCAGTAAATCTACACCACATCCAGTCTAACTGTTGTACACCTCTTATGTCTCACCTCCCAAGCTGTTGATCCTTTTACCTGTTGGCTATTTTTGTTAGGGTTTCTGTAATATAACCTCTTTCTCTTCCTCACTCACACTCTCTCTCTCTCTCTCTCTGGTTTTGAGTTGGTATTTTTCTTAGTATTTTATCTCTCTCTCTTATCTTCTATTTTACACACACTTTATTTTAAACACTTAAGATTCACTGACTATCACTATTACTGATATTGGGAGTCTCTCTCATTACTATATAGTGTATATGAAGTGTTTCGACTGATACACTTGCAACCACTTACTGAAGTGCTTGTGTATCGTGCTGTTATACAGTCTGTACAATAGATCCATTATTTTTTTCACCCATTCCCATTATTGTTTAGTTATACTTAAGAGCGGGAAAACCCCTCTATTTTAGGATAGGGCACAGGTGCCTTTTTGTCTCTTATTTTGTATCATAATTATTATTATTGTCTTTGTTGTCTATTAACCTATTCCTACCTTAATCTACTTGTTATTATTTGATTTTTAAATATATTTCATTTATTCTGAAGAGACATTAAGTGAGTAATTCTTGTATCAGTTTTCAACCATCCTCTGATTGTTTTCGATTTTTAATTCTTATTATTATTATTATCAAACATTTTTCCATTTTCTCTTTGTTTTTGGAAAGGACTCTTGATTTCTTAACCTCAATATAAACTTATCCTTTATTGTTATTATTATTATTATTGTAATGAGGAGTAGTTCATTTTTCATTGTATTAATCATGATCTATTAAATATTTTTTGAATAAAATTTAATTAATAAAGTCAAAGTGAAACCATAGCCTGCCAGCCAATGAATTTATGGGTGGAGCGTTAATTAATTATGTGGTATGTTGGTATCACGTGATCCTGAGCCACACCTCTACTGGCTTCTATTTCTCATCTCCGACTGGTTGTTGTACTTGCATTCTGTTTCCTTTTCACTGATTATCTCTCTCACTCTAGCAAGAGATTAAGGAGGATAGAGCATCTGATAGGGGGACAGAATGGCCAACGGGATATTTTGTCAGAACTTTTGGGTAAGGAGAGAGAAGAGAGGACCATACTCCACTTAGAGGTGTTACCCCTCGCTTCTTTGTTCCCTCTTTCTATTTCTCCTCCTTTTGTGTCCCTAGGGCTCCGATTTTTGTTCCACGCAAGGCTATGACGTGTTAGTGAAGCGGCTGAAGGAAGGGAAGCAAGTCCTGGTCGATTATGAGGAATATCTTGAGAAAAGGTACATTATAGTGAGAGTTATTGGTAGTAGTTTACTAACTGTGATTTAAAGTGCATCCCATTGTTGTGACTTTCGTTTTGTAAGTAGTTTTTGTATTGAGCATTGTGCCGTGGTGGTGCTTTTCATTTTGATACACAGTGCTACTTTTTGTAAGATTTTATGATCAACTTGGCATGTATGATATGTATCTTCAGTCATATCTACGCAATAACAGAACATCCTGATCATAAAATATACCTCCTTGAGCTATACTGAATAAAGACAAGAGAGAGAAAGGAAAGAGAGAGAGAGAATCAGAGAGAGAGAAAGGAGAGAGAGAGAGAGTGAGAGAGAGAGAGAGAAAGGAGTGAGAGAGAGAGAAAGAGAGATAAAACAATGGAGATAATTGGTTAAGAAAATGAGTTACTTAAGGAAATAGAAGTGTTAAATGGAAAGAGGAAAGCTAAAGGAAAGAAGGGATAGGTCTTATAATATAATCACTGCTCATCCTAATGGCTGTGTGATGCTAATGGCTGAATAAAGATACTTGTTTGTGTTTGTGTTAATGAAGCAGCAGCTGTTTATTATTAATACATCTCCGAGTCACAGAGTACAATGTTTGCTTATGACACTTTCGTGTGTGTGTGCAAATACCGTCTACTTCACATCATTGAATACATTGTTGTTATTATTGTGACAGGGCTTGGGATAATATTATTGTAATGTGGATGTTTCCTTTCATTTTAGAGCCAAGATTGAAAAACAGTATGCAGAGGAGATTGTGAAATTGGCCAAGAATACTTCGGGAAAAGATGAATTAGGGTTAGCTAAGGGAGGAAATGGCATGTTTTGAATTTTAATTGTGATGATATTATCGACGTAATGCTTCTGTATCAATAATACGCATATTTTGATACATATCATGTTTGTAAGTTTTTGTGTAGTAAGTAGTGTACACTGACAAGCAATCAAAAGTTTTAGCACTTAGTGTTGAAATTTCCCAAACATACTTGTACATACGTACACGTACATGTAATTTGAATGTGTACATGTACATGTACATGTACCTATTATGACACCAATATAGGCACAGCACCATTTTCTATTTACTGCATGTATGTTTTATATGTGCTATTGTGAAATTATTGTTAAAAGCTGCAATTGTTGCAAAATTATCATTGACTGTTTATTCTATTAGCCGCTTTATTATAAACTGCCGATCTGTCAAGTTGAAGTCTTCACCAAATTTTCTAGCTACTTGTACTTTTTATGGATGATGATAATTCCCTGCCTTCTCTTGAGCTTTCTCCCTCCCCTCAGGGCTTACCACAGGATTTTGGCATAGTCCTCGTGCAGCTTCTTGTTAGTGGATTGTTAAGTTGCTTAACAATTTATCTAAAGACCCTGTGCGGTAGTACAGATTATTTTGATTAAAAATTGCAAGGAGAGAATGCTTCAATTTATAATTTCTTCTGATACGCATACATGTCCTTATGCTGTGTACCAACTTTGAGCTGATTCTAATCAAGTTTGATTTTTATGAAATTTTAAAGTTGTTCAAAAATTGGGCCAACAACCAAAGGACATGGCCTGAAAATTTGGCCCAAGACCAAAGGCTATAACCTTTGGTCTCGGGCCAAATTTTTTCAAAATGGCTACAAGGGAATTCTCCTTTTTTATAATTTTATTCTGATACACGTGTATATATACATGTACATGTTCTTATGTTGTGTATCAACTTTGAGCTGATTTTGATCAAGTTTTGAATTTTTTAATAAATTCTTAAAGTTGCTTCTACATGTACTGTATTGTAGTGCTTGTTGGACCATGAAGCTCATGCTGTTACATGTACAATCGTACATGTACATGTGTAGCATGTTTTGTAAGAAACCCTGCTCCTCCCTCATTCTCTCTCTCTCTCTCTCTCTCTCTCTCTCTCTCTCTCTCTCTCTCTCTCTCTCTCTCTCTCTCTCTCTCTCTCTCTCTCTCTCTCTCTCTCTCCCCCCTAGTACAATGAAGAAGTGTTGGGATCAAATAAGAGCTGAGACTGAAACCACAGGTCGACTCCACATGCAACTGTCATTAAGACTCCAAGATGAGGTACTGAAGTCAGTCCGAGACTTTAGAAACCAACAGAAAGAAGTCAGAAAGAAAGTAAGAGAGAGAGTAGAGAAGGAAGGCTAACATTTATAAATAATTATGTATAGACTGAAGACACTGTCAAACGATCAGCTGTTCATAAGAAGAATTGCTATGATAAGAATAATAGAGTAAGAGAGAGGGGGAGGGAACATTTTAATTTTAATTTATTTTCTTTTAGCTGCGTTCATATTACGAAGGAAAGTGTAGGGAATCCGATAAGGCTCAGGATCAGTTACGCAAACTTGAAACAAACCCACTAACCAAACCCAAAGATCACATGCAGGTATAGACACGCCCCCAACTACTCCACCCACTTAATTATATGTGTACTCTAATTAAAGGCACACAAGAAAGCTGAGGTAGCTAAGACAGCAAGCAATAACGCTGACGTGCAGTATCAGGAAGCTGTGAAGACACTAGAAGAAGCAAGGATGCTGTGGGAGAGAGAGATGGAGCTTATGTGTCACAAGTTCCAAGAGCTGGAGGAGCAGAGACTGGCCTTCCTTCGTCATCAAATGTGGACTTACACTAACTTTTGCTCTCAGACTCTTGTTGATGATGATGAAGTGAGAGAGAGGGAGAGAGAGAGGGTGAGAGAGAGGGGGGAGGGAGGGAAGGAGAGAGAAAAAGAAGGAGAGAGAGATGGGAACTTAAATATTGATCATTGTCATTTTTAGTCTCTTGAAAATATTCGTAAATCACTTGAGAACTGCAATATTGATGAAGACATTGAATTATTTGTTAAAGACAGGAGCACTGGGTCTGAAAGACCAGGTTAGGTGTACCTCACTGATTGTGGGTGTGTCATTTTGTTTCCTTAGCAACCATACCATACGAGAACTTTTATAATCCTCGGGCAGTTATAGCAGGAGTACCCACTGCAGTCTCACTAGAGGCACCTCATAAAGAGCTACCACCACTACCACCTGATGAGGATAATGAAATAGTTATTGAAAGTATGTTAACAATGATCGCAATCTCTCTTTCTAATTACACCATTTTTACTCTCCTTTCTTTCCCCTCTCTCTCTCTCTCTTCCCTTTCTCTCCCTTCCTCTCTCTCTCCCTTTCTCTCTCTCTCTCCTCTTCCTCCCTCTTTCTCTCTCTCTCCCTCTTTCTCTCTTTCTCCCTCTCCCTCTCTCTCAGGTACATATTCAGTTCCTCAATTACCTGAGGCTCATTACAGTGTCCCCAGATCTGGCGGTGATTATGTCATTGCTCTTTATGATTATGATGCTCAAGGGGACCAGGTGAGCCCAACTGTTAATACAAGCTTATTGTTATTGACTGGGTATGCTTTAAATAACAGGAAATATCACTAAAGGAAGGAGATGTCTTGGAAGTGGTTGGCAAAGAGGATGATATCTGGTGGTGCGGGAAATTTATTAATTCTGGAGGCAAACTGGGCATGTTTCCAGCTGCTTATGTAGAACCATACGTCTCTCATAAATGACCCTCCCCATAAACCACTTGTACATGCAACAATGCACTCACAAGAATGTAGATTTGTCTTTAAGAGTTTGATTATTTTTCACCCACTGCTTTTATTATTATTATAATATTATTATTATTATAATTAAATTTTATTATTATTTAGTTTTCAACTTTTCGTATTGTCTCATTTTTAATGTTAATAAGTAAAAATCAATAGGTAACAGTTGTTAGAGGTTATTTATAATTATTAAAGGTTATTAATAGTTATTAATCATTGTGAAGGGAATCCATGTGTTGAGGCAATAAGTTATATTTCTTGCTTCTTGAGCCGTTGCCGAGAGAAGAGGTTGAATTCTGCATTCTCTCTTGAATCTTTTCTTCTTTATCCATTATCCAACTGCGTATCTGGAGAGGGAGAGGATAGAAAAATGGTGGAAAAACATAAGATATGACAAATGAGAATGAAAGATTGGAGCAAGGAAGGAAGAGAAATACCGTACAGCGCATAATTATCAAAAGCTGTAAATTTCTCAAATTTGCCTAAATCAATTTTGTGAATTTAATTTTCGCAAATTTATGCCATCTGCCTTCTTGTACCATAATAATTTGATTTTCACGAAAGTAATTTTCACTAATCTTAAAAAAAAATCGCAAAATCCGGAAAATTTACACCCCTCAAATATTTACACCCCTTAAAAATTTTGCACTATACATGTACATGCATTACAGCTGGAAATATTAGTGGGGAATTATAATAAGTGTTACACTGACAGTGTAGCAAGCAACTGTCTACATAAAATCCTATTTGTTCTGAGCATGCCCAATGATTTAGCAGCCTTGTATCGCTATACAAGGCTGCTAAATCATTAATATATTTTTTGAAAATTTTTTAACATTCACGTAAAAGTTATAGCCAAATAGCTGGCAATACCCTATAGGGGGTATATTTCACGGGGATTTAATTTCGCTAATTCAATGGTTTTAAAAAATTTGTGAAAATTTTTATCTATGAAAATTATATTTTATCACACTAATAATGGTCAGTAGAAGAAAAATGCTAAAATTTTTTCTTGTGAATAGGTCAAAAGGTGATTTTCGTGAAATAATTTCCATGGGAAATATACCCCCTGCACAGTATTAAACTAATTACTAATTGAAATAGAAAAAAAGACAAAACAATTACCATATGTAGCTAGAAAATTTGGAGTGCCAAAATTTGGCGAATTGACTTATGAGGTTTGGAAGTTAAAATTTTTGGCAAAATTTTAACTTTGTGCATGTTTCTATCAAACTCTATCAAATTGAAGACTAAAAAATTGGCGAATAGACCTCAATTCACCATAATTTTACTCCACCAAATTTTCTAGCTATACCGTACATGTACGTAGAAAAGGTAAATAGATATTATTACAAAACCTTTCACATACCTGATATCTGTACTGATACAACACGTACAACAACACACAGAGTACCAGGATGATCAGTATCGCTATGACCATTCCGAAAAAAGCATGACCATTCTTTTGATCATTATCATCATCTCCCTCACCCTCACCTACCGTACCAGTTGGAGTAGGAGCTGAAGGTTTAGACTCACTGGAAGCTGATTGGGTTGATGTGCTACTGGTAGTTGGTGTCACAGAAGAGGACGAGCTTGTTATAGTTAGAGAGTCACTGATGATATCTGATACACCATCACTTGGATGCGATGACACTGATGCTGTTGGTGAGGCCAATATCGAGGTTGTTGTTGTTGATGATGAAGATAAAGTTGATGATGAGGAGGAGGACCTGTCGGTTAGTGCTTTTTGTAAAGATTCAAGCCTTTCTTTCTGTTCTGCTATCGCTTCTTTTTGTTGTGATATCAATTCCTGGGAGTCGTTCAATTTTGCATTCAAGTCTTCTACCTCAGTTTGGAGAAAATTAACGATATAAAAAAGCTCTTCGATATTCTGTGTCACTTGGGTTGGGTTAAAGCCTGTCTTTACAGTACCATTCCCCTGCAATGGCTGTTCAGTATCATTTCCATCCGACAATACTCCAAGAGGGACGAGAAAGACGAGAAGCAAAGAGACACAGCTCAAAGGAGCAGACATCTTAAAATGATGACGTTAGGGAAATCCCACCAATAGATACTGCGCATGCGTAGTAAAGTGGGTGGAGCTTACGTAGGAGTGGCTCAAAAGAAGGCGGGGTTTATGAAAAAAGTAAGTTCTGAATTTCTGGCATTCACTCATTCATTACACTGTTTATGTAACACTGTAGATCTCTCTCAATACCTCATACTTCCGAGAATATTGCAATCTAAAACTTTAAACTTTAAACAAAGGTAGGTGAAGTTTCAACTCATAGTCAATATAAATGATCATCACACACTTCTAATCCACACCTACTCTCTGTAACTGTTTGTATTAATTCAATAATAATTTTTTATTGTTATAAAAAAATGTAGTGTGAGTGAATATTGCTTGATCTTGTGAGTTGCTTCGATATGGATAGGTTTGGGCACACAGGTGCACAGGTAGTGCTTAAATGGACTTTATAATTATAATCCTTGCTGGAAGCACTACCCATACCCCGTGTACTCAATCCCTCATCCATTCCTTCTCTTGCTGTTACTCTCTGTGGAAGAAGAAGCCAAGGCAAATAAGGACGACTCCTACTCACTGTGGTATAGACCATATATATTAGTGATAATACAATAAATAATAATAACAATAATAACAATAGTTACCTGTGTGTGTTTGTGTGTGCATATTACCGTAGTAGCTTAGGGAAAACATCTTGTTAACTTACATACCAATCATTCTCTCTCGGGATATTTACCTATAGATTCCTGGTGTATAATATTATATAATATAAATGTGGCACATTGGAGACGAAAGAGAGAGGGAGAGAGTGAGAGACAAAGAGTCTTGTATTGAATGAGTTATGCTCAGCTGGTGAAGACATAATTGAAGTACTGCTCACAATGAACTGCTTGTAATTGAAATCACCTTTTGTATCTTTGCTCTACAATCTTGAACAGCTGTGGCTGTAGTTGGTTTTAATGAGACTATAGGGGAAAGGAGACAGGGGGTAAGAATATACATATACTTGCATTCTTGTTTGTATTGCAGCTGTGATAAGCCAGAGCTATTCAGTAAACACACTCCTCAGTTGTTGCTTCTCCTTCTCTTATATAAACAACACGAGTGGAGGCGCCAAACCAGCTCCAGGCACTCTACTACAAATCCTAAACTAGCTAAAAGGAAAGAGAGAGGGAGAAACAGAGCGAGTTGCCCTGAACTGTTCAGACCAGTCATCCTACGCGTAGGTAAAATACTTGTGGGTTGCCACAGTCCCGCTCTGGGCTTATGTAGCAGTTGAACTAATTACTGACATTCTTTCAAAACCACAGTAATGCTAACAATATTATATATTACCACAAGCTAGGACCAGACACACACACTGTCTCGCTTATTTCTAATAATAAATATTTTACTTTCTATTAATAGATTCGTAAAGAAAGCTGCAGTAGTATGGATTCAAGCGATGAACTAAATTTCTTTTCCCCAGAAACGATTGAGAATTTGACCGAAGGCTTTCTCAATATACTCCAACCAGAAGTGATCACTGTTAATAAGAGTTTAAGCGACCTTACGTAAGCAGACAATAATGAATTGTATGCATAATAATGTGTTTTTTGTGGTCTAGCTGTGTATGTATATATTATGCTGCATAGTGAGTGAGTGCTTATACTGGCTGTGATTGCTAGTATCCGTATGACTATGAGTAGCATTAATAATGATTGCTACTATTAATAATTACGGTTGCTCTATTAATGAAGTATTTAATATCCTACTAGAGCCCACCAAGAGATAATGCTTGCGTCAATCAATAGCAAACGGACACAGTTTGAAGATACTGCTCAAACACAAGATATACAAGCACTGGTAACTGAATAATAATAAATTATTAATGAATGATTGTGAATGATAGTAACAATAGGTTTATTGTATGTGATGTGATGATACGAGTTATAGCCAATATTTTGTGTGTGTGGTAGTTGTCAATATTATTGAATTAGTTAAATGGGACATGCAATTGTGAAGTGGGAGTGAATGAGTATTCTGTTCTCACAATAACCTTCCCTACATTCCTAGAGAGTACTAGCATATCATTTTAAATTCCTGTGGTAATACAAATCGTTAATTGTAATAATATCGCTATATGTAATAGTAATAATGCGTGTAGTGTTGAGTAGCTTTATTTCACTCCTACCCATCAATCTGTCTCACCTCTCTGTCTTTCTTTATTCCTCCTGTCTTGTCAACTTTCTTTCTCTTCCTCTGTCCTAATTTGACTATTTCTGTTTCATTCCTCTCTTCTTTATTTCTTCTTTTCTTTTCCCCTCCACCTCTTCCTTCCTTTCTCTTATCAATCACTCTCACCCCCATCTCATACCATCTCACCCCCCCTATCTCTCTCTCTTTCATTAGCTGATTCAAATTCCTAATTACAAGCAGAAGATACTCAACATTCAAAAGACCATTACATCAATTGACAGACGAATGAAGAAGCTACAGGTAACGAGAGACCAAGGGAGGCAGAGGAAGAGGAGAGAGGGTGTGTGTGTGTGTATGTGTGTGTGTGTGTGTGTGTGTAAGAGAGGGAGAGATAGGCTCTAAGTACTGTTGCTATGGTACTGATTGCCACAGGTACGAGCTAACAAGCTTAAAGAGTTGAGGGTCTTACGGGAGACAAATTCAAAAAAAGAGCTAGAGAAACGAATAAGAGAAGAACAAATATTGGAAGCTAAACCATCGAAATGATCAACAATAATAATAATTATTATTAATTATGTCTTTTTACAATAATAGCAATATTGTGTGGAGATATTTTTTCATCAAATATATTAAATAATTGACAATTTAGTCCTCTTTCCTTTAAATACAATGAATAGTCTATTAATATTAATAATTCTATTGATCTTCTGATGCACATCTGTAGCCCCTGCATTGTCAGACTATTAACAATTAATTGAATAACTTAATTACCGTAAAAGGCTCTATTAATGAAAAGAATGGACTAAATCTTAAATAAGCTTCACTTAATGCTCCCTCAATAGTGGCATGATCTTTAAAATCTGATTAAGAGAGAGAAAGGGAGAGAATGAGAGAGTAAAGTAGAAGCTTTAAGACAGAAAATAAGGAACACAATGAATGACATGGTAACCTGGTATAAGCTCCTTGATCATTCTAATAAAATCTTCCGAAAAGTTATCAAAATTATCATATCTTGCCTTCCTAAGCCTATTACACAATGGACTGGAAGCAGAACTAAGAAATACTGAGGGGGAGTATGGGGAGGAAGGAAAGAGAGGAAGAGAGGCAGTGATTAGGAGGGAGTGAGTGCTTGTATATGAGTAGATTGTGTCATAATTTATAATTAATACCATATTTATTTATAATTATTTCAGCAATAGAACGATAACAAACATGATTACAGTGTTGCTGGTGGTCCGAAGGAGATTGAGATAACCAGCTGTAAAGAGAAAGGAAGAGAGAGAGGGGGGAGAGAGGGAGGGAGAGAGAGAGAGAGAGGGGAGAGAGAGGGAGGGAGAGGGAGAGGGGGGCAAAGAGAGAGATAAAGAGAGAGGGGGGAGAGAGATAAAGAGGGAGGAAGGGAGGAGAGAAATTAATCACTATAATTTACTTACTTTTCAAAACTATTTTCTGATGCTAATCTAAAGCCATATATGGACAAAAATTGGATGCCTTCATTTCTTAAAATATCATTAATCGTTTCACTAATCGGATTAAATGACGCCCTCTTATGATAGCAGCAAGGTATTAGTATTAATAGTGATACGGTATCGATTAGTTTATAAAACATGTGTAATATTGTAGGAGAGAGATCACCACAACAATGTAAACCAGTAATGCAAACATTGCTTCCTTTTAGGGAAAAGAGAGGAGGAGAGAGAGAGAAGGAGAAAGAGAATAAAGCAAAGAAACAGAAGAGAGAGAGAGAGAGAAATATGAGATGAGAGGGGACAGAGACAAATTAAAAGATAACAGGAAATTAAGAAAGAAAGGACAAATAAACTACACAGCCAAGAATTATCATGCTGATACAGGACTACTGCTGAAAATCAATGAATCAAGCTTGATTACTTGAATGATACAGTCCTGATAGCCTATCAGGACTGTATCAATTACCGTATAGCGGGAAATTTTGGAGGTGAGTAAATTTGGTGAATCTGGCATTTTGATAGGCATTCGCCAAAATAAAAATCCGTCATTTTGGGCCATTATACGCATGCTCAATGGCATGTGGCCACAAATTCACCAAATTAAAATCCGCCAATCACCAAAATTTAGCAATTCGCCAAAATTTAGCCCTTCCAAATTTACCCGCTACACGGTAAGTAATCAGGCTTGATTTATTGATTTTGGGCACTAATCCTGTATCAGCATGATAATTCTTGGCCGTGTATAGTAGAGACTGATACTAACCTAGCGATGTACATATTTCATTAATTTCATCAACACACTTTTGTGACTCATTGATATCTATCGTTACACTGGGTACATCTCTTCTTACAAATGCTGACTGGACTCTTTCAGTTACTCTCTCTACTCCAACCACTTTCATGCCACATTGCTTCATTAATATATCACCTAAATAGCCCTTTATTTATTAATAGAAAATACACTTGATAATAATGATAATAATAATGGTTAACTGACTAGTCCAGATAAAAATGATAATAATAATGGTTAACTGACTAGTCCAGATCCAATGTCAAGTAATGATGTGCAGTTACATTCTTTACATATTTCCTCAACCACAGAAGCTAAACAGGATACCTATTGATGTAGGACCCGTTTACACTTCACATGTAAACGGATGTAAACGGAGACTATTTCATTTCTGATATACAGCTTGTGTTTACACTATTACAAAAAAACTTGTCTCCTATCTGAAAACGGATACTTCTATAAACAACAATGATAAATCTTATGAAAATGCAGCCGCTGGTGCATTAGTGTAAACACCTGAAACAAATAATAGCAAAAACAATCCTGATTCAGGCCTCATTTACATAAATAACACAACTATGCTGGCCTAATCTGCATCATTTTGCTGTTAGTGTTTTCAGGTGTTTACACTAATCCAGCAGCTACGTTTTCATTAGAATTTATCATTTTGTTTATAGAAGCATCCGGCAGTTTTAGTATTTAGTTATTCTTTTGTTGGGCCGGATTTGATGATGTGTTTTCTTGTGTTTTAGTGTAAATGAGACCCTTTTCCGACTAAAAATATATCCGTTTTACTTTAAAACACCACGGTAGTCATGTAAACCAGGCCTCAGTGAAGTGGATTACTATAAACGGGGCCGAAGAATAAAATAAACTAGGGTTTTGTATTTTGAGCGAGGAGACATATAACTTGGAGGGTGCACAGCTAAATTTTTCTCACACAAAATAATATGAAGTGAATGAAGTTCAATGGTAAAGGAAAGCCAGTTTATAGCAAATCGTGGTACCACAATAAAATGAAACAGTGCATTACATATTGATGTGTTTGTCACGTAAAAAGTTTGAGCTCTTTTTTTGACAAAATTATTTTGAGTTATCAGCATTTCTAAAATTGAGCCAATAATTTGGAAAAAAAGCAAAGGCTCTAGCCCATGATGCTTTTTAAAATGGCTACAAAATCACACCAAATTTTTATTACATTTCTGATACATATTACTGTCCTTATGCTGTGTAGAAGTTTGAGCTAATTCTGGCTTTAATTTTTTGAGTTACAGCCATTTTTTTAAATGAGCCAATTTTCAGAAAAAAGCAAAGGCTATAGCCCATTTAAAAAAATAAAATGAGAAATAGGACCAGAAATCAGTAGATAATAAAAAGTGAATTTGAATGAAAATGAGTCATATAATAATTTATAAGTTAGTGACACTGAAGTCGAGCATCACAGATTGCAACATCAATGTCACAATCACTGGGCCTATATAGTGATCTCTTTGTATATACCACTTAAACACTGAAATGTAGATCTTAAAATTGAAAAAGATAGTTTACATTTGATGAAATTAATTACTGAACTGTAAGGTTTGTTAAGTTTATCAGCTGTCAATAGTGCAATTTGTCTAAAAACAACATCACATACAGGAACCAGCCCACCATTGGTATAAAAAACAACAGGCGAGAAACAACCATTATAGTCCATAGTTTTATCCAAAAAATGGCTCCAAAAGTATCCCAAATTTTTATTACATTTTCTCATACATATTGATGTCCTTATGTTGTGTAGAAAGTTTGAGCTGATTCCGACTTCAATTTATCAAGTTACAGCCATTTTAAGAAAATGCCAAAATTCTGAAAAATACCCTTTAGCCCATGGTTTTATCCAAAAATTGGCTCAAAAATCACCAAAATTTTTTATTACATTTTCTGATACATATTGATGTACTTATGTTGTGTAGAAAGTTTGAGGTAATTCCAACTTTAATTTTTAAAGTTATGGCTGTTTTAAGAAAACGCAAAAATACCCTGTACTATATGCCCATGGTTTTATCCAAAAAATGGTTCAAAAATCACCAAAATTTTTTATTACATTTTCTAATACATACTGATGTACTTATGCTGTGTAGAAAGTTTGAGCTGATTCTGACTTTAATTTTTTAAGTTACAGCCACTTTAAGAAAATGCAAAAATACCCTGTACTATAGCCCATATGGTTTTATCCAAAAAATGGCTCAAAAATCACTAAAATTTTTTATTACATATTCTGATACATACTGATGTACTTATGCTGTGTAGAAAGTTTGAGCTGATTCCGACTTCAATTTATCAAGTTACGGCCATTTTAAGAAAACGCCAAAATTCTGAAAAATACCCTGTACTATAGCCCATGGTTTTATCCAAAAAATGGCTCCGAAATCACCCCAAATTTTTATTACATTTTCTGATACACATTGATGTACTTATGCTATGTAGCAAGTTTGAGTTGATTCTGATTTCAATTTTTCAAGTTACAACCATTTTAAAAAGAGCCAAATTCTAGAAAAAAGCAAAGGCTACAGTACATGTATAATTAACCTATAAAAATTGGCTCCAATTTTTATTACACTTTCTAATACATATTCATAATTTCAACATTGAAATTATTACAGCAAAATATAAATTTCTTTTTTAACTCAACAGTGTAACAATGGATTCAATTTTATGTTAAGGCTGGTTCTCAATATGACGCATGCACGTCCATCACGACCGGAAGTGCTGTATAAACCAATGGGAGCATGCGTCAATGCATCAGATTGGAAAACATTTCTTTTCTGACGCATTGACGCATACTCCCATTGGTTTATACAGCACTTCCGGGTCATGACGCTAGCACATGAAAAACAATGCGTCATATTGAGAACCCACCTTTACTACTAGTCTGCCATTAACATTATTATTATTTACTTCATGCTGTTTCTTTAATTTCATTCCTCTAGCTATGTCTTGTTTCATCTTTATAATGTCTGTATAAGTCCATTCCCTGACCAATCCAGTACTCGTCGAATTATTCAAACAACCAGTTATAAACTCTTGAAGACTATTTGGATAGCACAACTGTCAAAAAGAACAAAATAATAGCCTCTATATAGCAGACATTTAAGTCCAACATACACTAGGCAACATGTTGCTTATAACATTTGTGGTTACTTTGATCTTGTAAACAACATGTTGCCAGAAACAGAACAGCCTTCTATTGGTAACATGTTGCTTACAAGATCAAAGTAACCACAAATGTTGCTAACAACATGTTGCCTAGTGTATGGGGACCTTCAGGGACAAGAAGGTTTGTCAGTTATACAGAGGTGTCCTTTATGGAAACGTTATAACACCCCCGCTAGGGATACAAATGCAATGTATCCTGCAGTGGGGGTGTTATCAACATACTTGTGTAGTAATGAGTGGGCGTATCAAAGGTGCGTGCTCAGCCTTGTGGTAAAATGGTAGTAATGGAGGAAAGGAGGCCCAGAAAAAGGTACTTTTATCAACTGATTTAGGCTTTAGGTTGGCATAATCTAACTATTTTCAGGCTATAATGTCTGGAAGAGGTCCAGAACAGAGATCCTGAGCTTGCTGACTGGCCATGTATCGATCTTACCTTCCCCGGCCATCTCATTTAGTATTGAGGCTTAGTCAACCATTGATTTCAACACAAGAGGAGAGCAGTCAAACTCTACCTGCATGGATTATTGATCTGTGGATCAATATAAAGTTTTCTGCACTCCGGAGACTTACAATTGTTCAGACTTTGTACCTGTCGGTTCCCGCGGGCCACTGGGCCTAGGCCAGACTTTATTGACAGTTGACTTTCAGCTTATAATACCTGTACAATAATGTTGTTTCTTATTTTTATTTTAAAATATTTTTCTGTCAACCCACAGGGATACAAATAAAACCACAGGGAGTGTTACAAATGAAAACTCTATTACATCACATTTTTAACCACAGGCAGTGCCTTTGATACACCCACTCACTAATATACAAGTGAAGGTTATTTTATACAGGTAAGAAATGCAATTGGATTAAGTTTATTACTGATGTTCTAATCCTCTGTTAAATTACAAGTGAAATTATCTTACTTTATTATCAATGATGTTATGCAAATCTTCAAATTTCCAATCCTTCATTATCATTATCCACTATTTTAATAAAAATAATTTTATAAAAATTTAATATAAGCTCATTTCATTACCTCACTTGGCATATTAGTAGCAATGTGATCGGTAAGAAATAACTCTGTTGTTTTAACATTCCAAATCCATTTGTACTTCTCAAGAAATTGAACTAAACTCCTGACATCATCATAAACTTTACTTTTATCCATTTATAGCCACTATGCATACACGTGAATTCCGTAAACTACATCTAGACTTGTATTCTTTGTCCGTAGACCTGCGTAATTTAATTAATTTTATGACTCTCTGTGATCCAACTACAATTATCATAATTTCATAGCAACGAAAATATGTATGTGCAGCTTAATAGTATTATTTCAAATAAACAAACAAGAAGCAACAGAAATTAGATAATAGCAATTATTTATTAATATTTATAAAGAATATTTATATTCGATTCCACCAGGCATGTGTAGGACAACAGATTTATTAGAAGTCCATTCTATTCTAACGTAATTATAATTAGTAGCCGTTGTTGTGTTTGATATTGCTGGCCAGTTGTGAATACACTTTGGAGCTGAATTGATGACACCACTTAGAATGGACGTACTAATCTAAAAATAAAAATTATAAAAAAATAATAATAATACTGTTAATACAGCAACTATTAAAAGGTTTAGCTAACTGAAATATTTTACTCTTCAAATCTATATACATTGTACACTGCAGATACAATAGACTAGGAAAAAGTACATGCACATGTACTTCATCCAATGTACTGTAATGGCTATTTTGTACACGTACTGTATTACAGGGCATTAAAGCTACTGCACAAATCTACCATCTCACTTGAAAATATACACGTACATGTACATGTAACTGTACTTTTAAAATCACAGTGGTAATCATAAAATTATAGACTATTACAGAGAGTTCATGCTTTTACCCAAGACCAGGGTTTCCCACAAGGCAACTTGAAAATTCATAAAAAATCCAACTTTAATCAAAATCAGCTCAAAGTTCATACACAACATAAGGAAATGTAAATGTATCAGAAAAAATTATAAAAATGAAGAATTTTCTCCAAGCCACTTTTGAAAAATTTGACTGAAGATCAAAGGCTATTATAGCCTTTGATCATTGGCTCAATTTTTCAACAGCTTTAAAAAAATTTATTAAAAATCCAAATTTGATTGAAATCAGCTCAAAGTTGATACACAGCATAAGGACATTGTGCATCAAAAAACATTATAAAAATAGAGAAATTTTTCGTTGTAATTTTTGTCAAAATACCCTGTACTATATACTACCCAATTTTAAGCAGCTTGACAATCCACTGACAACAAGCTGCATGAGGACTATATATGCCAAACTCTTATGGGAAGCCCTACCCAAGACCCAATGATGCCCCACTAATCAAACCACTCCACTCCACTTGCCTGCCAGACTTTAAGCATTGAGTCACCATAAGAATAAGTAGCCAAGTACTTCCCTTCCTCTGAAAATGAGAGGACTATAACCTGATGAGAGTGGGCGTTGATCATTTGAGTTTTTCGCTGTTTTAAATCGTAAATACCAATTTGACCAGAACCAGCACCAACAGCTAATCTTTTAGTACGCAAGGAATAACTAACATTAGGTAATCTGAGAAGAGAAAAAAAGAAATTATAATACACGTACATTTACATGTAGCACAGAATGGTTAATTAGACAAATTTTTGTTACCTTGTCAATGATGGGAATAAATCGTTAAAATTTTTCCTTTTCAATTCATCCTGATCAAGACAATAAAGTGCAATATCAGCAACCTAAACAACAACAAACAAACAACAACAACAACAATAATAATAATAACAATAATAATAGTAATAACAATAATAATAACAATAATCATAAGAATAATGATAAATCACACATTAATAGTGATTACACATGTACATGTAAATGTAGCTTACATCTAGTATTTGTGATGAAACATGTCCGGAGCATTTATCTAGAATAGTTCTAACAAGTTCAAACATTTCTTCTTTAGCAGCTGGGAGCAGGACACTGGCCTGACTAACTATACCGTTTGTATTAGGAGGCGGAGTCTGTCCAACCTAATAAATAATAAGTTAATTGACTGATATTACAGTTACATGTACATTATACCGTATAGCCACAAAGTTTCGAGGCAATAAACTTTCGCAAATCAGGCCACAAGTCTTTTTTTGCGAATTAACTTTCACGGTTCTTATTTTAAAGCACACGTGTTTACGGGCAATACGGATAATTTTACAGAATTAACTTTCACGGATACGGAGAATCCGCAAAAACAGCGAAAGTTGTTCCCTCGAAATTAAGTGGCTATACGGTACACTATAATACTGCTTTTCTCAAGGTTTTCACACAAAAAGAGAATCCTTTAATGCTATGCATCCTAAAGTAGCTACTTTAAGTCTATTTTGTGTACAAATGTACAAATGAACATGCAGTTTTAGCACATTAATTTAGTGAGGGATCAATCTAATAAAGTGACACAATTATTACAAGTACATGTACATGTATCACCTAAAGCCTAAAAGTGAAAGAAAATATTAGCCAAATCCTCATCATACACTACATGTAGGTACATTGTACATGTGTATCTACAATGTACAAGGCATATTAATATTACAAGCTCATAGCCAAAATCCTACATAAAACTTTAAATATCATATACTAACTTGCAATGGAGGCAGTGAAGGATGAGGGAATGGTGTCCCATGCTGAGACCCAAGGAACAACGAGAGCTCTTTAGCTATTGCTGTCACAACTGTAGTCGGCCTCAGCAAAACCATCAGATTCAGAGCTCGCTTTGCAGTCTCCGCTAAAAACTTAGCAGCCCTCATCTTCTTACTGGCCTTCTCATCCAGTGTCCCAGGAGCAGCCCCAGTAGGGCTAGTGACTGTAGCTGTTATATGAGGAAGGACTGATAGATCAAGGAGCCCCATTACTACTGATGGAACGTTCACATATTTCTCCCAGAGGTGAAATCCCCGTCCCATTAGTTCAGCAGCTGAGCAGCGGAGAGGAGAATAGAGTGAGCTCTTTTGTAACGGACGATCTAAGAGAACAGCCTCAAGAGTCTTAGCAGTCTGTCTAGCAACCTGAGGGTCTAAGACCTCGAATTCATCAGATGCACCTAATGATAATGATAATAATAATAATAATTAATTAATGATACATGTATATGTAATAAGTACAACTGTACATGTACATTGTGCATCTAATACGTAATTTGTGGGGTTCAATTCACAAAATTACAAAAAAGCTTCAAACATTATTTGTTTATTGATAATTATGATACATGTACAATGTACATGCATGCATCCTGAAAATGGCATTTTAGATGGGTCATAACTCAAAAATTATTTGTCGAAATCAAGACAATCAACTCAAACTTGCTACATAGCATAAGGACATCAATAAGTATCAGAAAATGTAATAAAAATTTTAAGTTGTTTCAGAGCCACTTTTTGGAAAAAACCATGGGCTATATACATGTATAGCTTTTGCTTTTTCTGAAAATTGGCTGTAACTCAAAAAATTGAAGTCAGAATCAGCTTAAACTTCATACATAGCACAAGGACATCAATATTATAGTATAGTAGAACAGTCTCATATACAGAATATAGGACCTTTGGTTTGTGTCCTTGGATGTGATATAACCCTCAGGCCTATGGCCAGCCCTTGGGCTATATCACATCTCTGAACACAAACCTTAGGTGACAGGTCCTATATTTTGTTTTGTACATGTGAGCTACTAGTGTCCGAACTGTAAAATTGTAAGTAACAGACCAATAATGCTTCATGCCAACTTGAGTTAAATACAATGAGTAGTTAATTTATTCACATGCCAATTACATCAATATACCCGGTATGCTAAAGAAAATTAGAGTATGATACTTCCAGTGTATAGACAATTAAAGCAACATAAAAATCAATGTATCTTTATGATCAAACTAAATTTAAATGATCCTCTACTAGAGAAGTGACTTAATTATTAGTATGCACATGATGTATATACCAGACTATTACTATAGCTGTGAATGACTACAGGTGTAGGAATATCATTATTTTGAGATACGGTATTGACATATGCGTAATAATTGGCCGGCATTTTGGATGGCAAGATTCAATGAAGAAGGAATGGAGTAAACTATAAAAATGATTTGTTTGACCGGTCTGGAACTCTTTCAAGCTACAAAAGTTGGTTGGAAGAAAGAATGGATGCTACCAAGCATCTCATAAAACAGATTTGGTGCAATGTGCAGCAGATTCTTTACTAAAGCTTGCTTTCTGCTTTTGCTCATTGGTTCACCAAAGAAAGTTGCCATCCATGGAATTTATTTCCTTCTCTACCACACCCACTGCCGTATTTACTCTAGTGACATAATTCATTCTCAGCTGGAGAGGTCTATAGTAAAAAGAATAAAAAGAGCCACAATCCTCTCTTTTATGTCACATCCATATTATGTACTCTTGCATGGTGCTATAGGTACAGACAAGTTCTAAGGCCAAGCGTAACGGATGCAGTCGTGTGATTACTACTAGTACATAGTAGATCTATTCAATCAGTTTGTTAGCAGCCAAAGTACAAGGCCAAGTTGTGAGTAATTCGTTCGCTTTCACAGCTTCGGTTACATCAAAATTATACTTGCTTTACTTCTAATATTGACAATGAGAGGCTTTGTTTATTGGTCAAATTTTAGTAAAAGAATCTTCAAATTTTTGTACAATCTAGGTATTTGATCAGATCACATTTCTAAAACTCTCACAGAAGAAGAAGAAGACTAAAGGAAAGCTTATTACTTAAGAAAGCCTATCTATGGGCCATATATGAATTATGTAGTTCAGGCAAATAAATAATGTAATAGTGTAAATGTAATAAATACACCTGCACATATCTATCTATCTATATATATGTGTATTATATATCATACTAAACAGGTCTATATACAAAAATATAGACCCTGAGGTGGGTGTCCAAGGATGTGATATAGCCCGAGGCCCACAGGCCCAAGGGCTATATCACATCCGAGGACACCCACCAAAGGTCTATATCTTTTGTATATTGACCAGTTCTAGTATGTTATATAGGATATATTTCATAATGATGACAGCATTTCTGAATGGCAGGTTTATATACACAAATATAAACCCGACTACATTAAAGGATGATGTCATAATTGCGAGATATATATATATATATATATATATATATATATATATATATATATATAGGTGAACTGTAAAATTGTAAGCAACAGACCAATAATACTTCATGCCAACTTGTGCTGAATACAATGAATAGTCAATTAATTCACATGCCAATTACATGAATAAATGATACAAGTAATTAGACTATGACTTTTCCAATGTCTAGACAACTAAAGAGACTGTATAAAATGTATCTTTATGTTCATAAATATCACAATACAATTGCATGATTCATTAGCATGAACATGTATACTGGTATTAGATCTATCACTGATCATATAGTGAGAAAAATAATGAAGAGCCTCCTCTCTTCTATGATTATGTGAATGACATTTAGAAGTGAGACTATAATGTTGCTATTTTATTATGCTATTAATCAGTGTACTTCCTGGATTATTCTAGCATCATTTTCCTCTAAAATCTGTCCTATAAAACCGCCACATAGCCTGACCATGCATGACATTTCCATCATAATCTTTCTTCTACATCAATATCAATGCTTGCATTATAATAAATACATTGTGTGCCACAGTGCTAGCAGGTAAAGCAACAAGGCTATAATTTTAATGTAACTGAAGCTGCAAAGGTGAATGAAATACACACCAGTTTTGGCTAACAAACTGAACTAATTGTATTATTTATTTTTGGCTCTCTGACTGTATATCATTGAGACCCTCAAGGTTACTATTTTCATCTATATATTCCTTTTGTCCTGTTTCTTATTATTATTATTATTAGATCTACTATCTACTAGTCATCACACGACAGCATCCATATTATATATACACTCTTGGCTCTAGGTACAGACAAGTTCTAAGGCCAGCGAGTCTAACGGATGCAGTCATGTGATTACTACTAGTAGATAGTAGATCTATTCATTCAGTTTGTTAGCAGCCAAAAATGGTGAGTATTTCATTCACTTTCACAGCTTCAGTTGCATCAAAATTATACTTGCTTTACTTCTAATATTGACAATGAGAGGCTTTGTTCATTGGTCAAATTTTAGTAAAAGAATCTTCAAATTTTTAAA